AGAAGCAGGTCTGTTTCTCTTTCCTCCAAGGAGCCAGCTGCTTCTCCATGGAACCCAAGAGGTCTTTTAACTGGCCTCCAGCTGCAGCACCAAAATGCATTCGAGCTATGAGCAGATAAGCAGAATTACTCAGACCAGTCCTGTCCAATGGAAGGAGGAGATACACAAACTCTGGGGTGAATCACACCCACAAATGCTTTCCTCTCTAAAAATTCCCACCGGGTCGAGATAGGGAGAAGCCTTGATATCTAGGTGAAATGTCAAGCGACAGAAACAAGATTTAACTAGCTTTGTTGTCCTGCCCCAGGAGCCCATATATCATTACGTGGGATTGGAGAAGAGAGAACTGGTTTGGAACCCTTGAGTAAACATTTGGCAGGGCAGAGCAGGACTCAGCATTATCTTCAGATTTAATTTGTGTTGGGTTGCGACTGTGAGATGCACACACCAGAGCAAGATGCTTGCGACCTATATGAAGAATGAATAGAAGTGAATCATTTTCAAGTTCTACCAGTGAATTTGCAATCAGTATCGAAGTCAAGCTGAAGAATCCATTCACATATAAACCCGGTCTTATTTTCAACACTAACTTGAACAGAAGGAGATTTTTTGGTTGTCTAACAAAGAGGCAGCAGAAACGTTCAGTGTGTTGTCAAAGGCTTTCATAGCCAGAATCTCTGGGTTGCTATGAGTTTTCTGAGCTGTATGGCCATGTCCCAGAAGCATTCTCTCCCGACGTTTCCCCCACATTTATGGTAGGCATCCTCAGAGGTTGTGAGGTCTGTTGGAAACCAGGCAAGTGAGGTTTATATATCTGTGGAATGTCCAGGGTGGGAGAAAGAACCCTTGTCTGCTTGACCAAGAATGTTGCAATTAGCCACCTTGATTAGCTCTGAATGGCCTTGCAGCTTCAAAGCCTGGCTACTTCCTGCCTGGGGGAATCCTTTGTTGGGAGGTGTTCTGGCCGCTTCCTGCCTGGGGGAATCCTTTGTTGGGAGGTGTTCTGGCCGCTTCCTGCCTGGGGGAATCCTTTGTTTGAAGGTGTTCTGGGTGCTTTCTGCCTGGGGAAATCCTTTGTTGGGAGGTGTTCTGGGTGCTTCCTGCTTGGGGGAATCCTTTGTTGGGAGGTGTTCTGGCTGCTTCCTGCCCGGGGGAATCCTTTGTTTGGAGGTATTTTGGCTGCGTCCAGCCTGGGGGAATCCTTTTTTGGGAGGTGTTCTGGCTGCTTCCTGCCTGGGGAATCCTTTGTTGGGAGGTGTTCTGGCCGCTTCCTGCTCAGGGGAATTCTTTGTTTGGAGGTATTCTGGCTGCTTCTGGCCCGAGGGGGGGCGGGATCCTTTTTTGGGAGTTGTTCTGGCTGCTTCCTGCCTGGGGGAATCCTTTGTTGGGAGGTGTTCTGGCTGCTTCCTTCCTGGCGTATCCTTTGTTGGGAGGTGTTAGCTGATCCTGATTCTTTCTGTCTGGCATTTCTCTGTCTGGATTCCCCCATAGAGGGAGCAGCCAGGCTTTAAGCTGCAACGCCATTCAATGCTAATCAAGTTGGCCAATTGCAACATTCACACTTACCTCAAACAGACAAGAGTTCTTTCTTCTACCCTGGACATTCCATAGATATATAAACCTCACTTGCTTAATTTCCAACAGACCTCACAACCTCTGAGGATGCCTGCCATCGATGTGTGCAAAACGTCAGGAGAGAATGCTTCTGGAACATGGCCATACAGACCGGAAAACTCACAGCAACCCAGGATGCAGAAACTTTCTGAATTTCTACAGATTGTTCCTCGCCTACTTCGGCCCCTCCCTGCAAGTAAAAAATGTGGAAGAACCAGGGCTTTGTACCTTATCTGCTCAAATTCAACTAACAGAAGCTCTTCATTTCCTCCTCCTCCCTCGATATTAATTAGGGCTGATTGACAACGTAACCTAATATTTGTATATTATTTTATATTTTCTAAACATTTCACATGCATCTTAATAACTGTAATCCTTATAACAAATCCTGCAAAGTTAATCCTTGTTATCTTCCATCAGTGGCTCCCCTCGGGGAATCCTGTCTGACAGAGTCACCTCATACAACCTGTTCGTCCACTGAAACCTGTAGCTAGCAGCGTGCATCACCTTTAACCCATCACTTTAGGGTAATCTCTGAAAGCCAGAAGCAGCTGACTTGGGTTCAACACAAACAGCTGAAAACTTCACAAATAATCAACCGTGGGACGACAACATGTCTCTAATTTGCTTATTGGATTCCTCTTTCATCCAAAGCAGGCATGGGCAAACTTTGGCCTTCCTCCAGGTGTTTTGGACTTCAACTCCCACAATTTCTAACAGTGAATATTTTGTGCAAGAATGACAGTAAAAGAACAAAGATGGAAATTCAAGATAAGGGACTGAGACATAGTTACTTATCTTAGTCATCAGAAGCCTTGTCTGTGGCTGGAATGAATAGTGGTCTTTTTTTTCTTTCCAAATGATGAAAGTTTTTTTTTATTGTGTCAGAAACAACTTGAGAAACTGCAAGTCGCTTCTGGTGCGAGAGAATTGGCCATCTGCAGAGACGTTGCCCAGGGGACACCTGGGTGTGTTGCCATTCTGCTGGGAGGCTTCTCTCGTGTCCTTGTGAGCTAGAGCTGACAGATGCAATTCGAAGTGACAACCTGCAAGTCAGTAACCCAACAGATCTCACAACCTTTGTGGATGCCTGCCATAGATGTAGGTGAAACATCAGGAGAGAATGCTTCTGGAACATGGCCATACAGCCTGGAAAAGTAACAGCAACCCAGGAAGCAGAAACTTTCTGGATTTCTACAGATTGCTCATAGATCTACTAATAGATCCTTATATACTTTTACCCATACCTGTTACATTACCCTGTGTGATTTTTAACTGCTTTCTTATTTTCTAATCTGTTTTTAAGCTGCTTCACTGGGGAGCTGTGTCTCCCCTTCCCAGGGTGGTTGTGCCCTGCTTTGCGCTGGTTGGTGACAGTAATAAAGTTTTGTTATTGTTGTTGTATGACTGCCATAGATGTGGGCAAAACGTCAGGAGAGAATGCCTCTGGAACATGGCCATACTGCCCAGAAAACTCACAGCAACCCAATTTGCAATTTGTTTCTTCTGCCAGTGTATGAGCACACATATTTCACTCATTTTTATCATTTAGGGCCGACCACATAGTCCTATATCCCAGAATATCAAGGCAGAAAATCCCACAATATCTGCTTTGAACTGGGTTATCTGAGTCCACACTTAGATAATGTGGATTTTCTGCCTAGATATTCTGGGATATAGGGCGGTGTGGAAGGGCCCATAGAAGAGCACATGGACTAATTAGAAAGCACTCCCACACAAGATAAAAATACCAGTATAATTTCCAAATCTAAATAGAAAACCAAATCCAAATTGCAAAAATGGATCTACAGCTCCACTCCACACCTGTCTACACTCCTTGCTGTGATCAAAAAAAGTCACGAATCTTTGCAAAACCCCACTCCTGTTCCCCAAAAACTGTTTCCACCTAAAATATTGTGTCTTCTAATCAGAGCCTGAAACCATTGATACTTTTTTTGGAAAATAGGTCCCAAAGTAGGCCATGGTGGTGGCAAGATTATGAGACATGGATCTCCCCAAAATAACTCTTTCAAGTGCTCCATATAAATTATCAAAGCATTTTGCTCTGCCATTCAGCCTTATCACTCGTCTCTTTGTGGAAATAGCAAACAAAACTCCTGCTAACCCTGTTTCCACAAGGTTTCCATAGGGTTAGCAGGAATCCATTAACTATAGTTCCAATCTTTTCAAGCTCCAATAACAAACTTCTAACCAAAGCAATGAAATCCCTTTCCTCTCATGGTCCTAGATCAGTGTTTCTTAACCTGGGGGTAGGGACCTCTGGAGAGTCGGGAGGGGTGTCAGAGGGGTCACATCAGAAAACAGTCTTTTCTATTAGTCATGGGGGGTTCTGTGTAGGAAGTTTGGCCCAATTCTCTTGTAGGTGGAGTTCAGGATGCTCTTTGATTTTAGGTGAACTATACATCCCAGCAACTACAACTCCCAAATGTCAAGGTCTATTTTCCCCAAATTCCACCAGCATTCACATTTGGGCATATTGAGGATTTGTGCCAAATTTGGTCCAGATCCATCATTGTTTGAGACCACAGTGCTTTCTGGATGTAGGTGAACTACAACTCCAAAACTCAAGGTTAATGCCCACCAATCCCTTCCAGTATTTTCTGTTGGCCATGGGAGTTCTGTGTGCCAGGTTTGGTTCAATTCCAACATTGGTGAAGTCAGAATGCTCTTTGATTGTAAGTGAACTATAAATCCCATCAACTACAACTCCAAAATGATAAAATCAACCCCACCAACAACAACAACAACCCCGCCAGTATTCAAATTTGGGTGCATCAGGTATTTGTGCCAAATTTGGTCCAGTGAATGAAAATACATCCTGCATATCAGATATTTACATTATGATTCATAATTACAAAATTATGAGCAAAAGTACAGTTATGAAGTAGCAATGAAAATAATTTTATGGTTGGAGGTCCCCACAACATGAGGAACTGTATTAAGGGGTCGTGGCATTAGGAAGGTTGAGAATCACTGTTCTAGATGATTTACAAATATGTCCCAGAATCATTTCTCCTTGTCTACTTCACACCCATCCAAATTATTCACCTCCCAAAGCACATCCCTACTAGATACCACTCTCCAGTTTTTTTTCTATAGAACCCCAAACTTTTAGAACTACAACTTGACTTGCTTTGATCTTCCAGACCCTAAATCAGTCCTAACCACTCTCATTAAGCATAATGAGAGATGTAGTCAAAGAAAATCTGGGAGAACATCAGGAAGAGAGCCCCCCATCTCTCTTCATTCCTTTGACAAGGAAATTAATTCTGGTGAATATTCGACTTATTTGTTGTCATCCCCATAATGTTCCGCCATCAGAGTCATCTCCATACCTACTATCAGTACATTGCCCTGATTCCTACCTTATTCCCACTTAGGACATCTGAAAGCCTCCACCAGTTCTCCAGAATCTGCCCAAGCGAATGTGCTCTCAGACTCTTCCCTCTAATCTCCTCCTCTCTAGAAACAAGTTGGACTTGTTTGCCTTAACAGGTCTGACGCTTGGGATGGGATATCTATTCAGTCCACGCGCACACGACCTGCACATGGAAGGGAGAGGAAGCAAAAAAGGGAAAGGCGAAGGAGCCACCAAGGTATGGAAGACCAAAGCCCATGGAGCAAAACTGGATGGGGAGCAGCGAACCACACCTTTGCAGGAAGCGTTCTGTCTCCAACCGAAATACTGCTGTCCTTAAGACACATTTGCATCATCACTTACGTTATCTCTATTTGTAATCCATAGGCTCACACACATAAGATTATTTTCTTTGTACACTAAATCAGGGCTTCTTAAACTTTTCCACTTGGGACTCCTTTTGGCCCAGGAATTTTTTACAGGACCTCAGGTATATAGATATAGAAAATAAGTATGAAAATCAAACATTTACTGATAACAAATCAACATTTTCAAGGCTTGCTAAACAGGTTGCTTTTTTGGAGTACGGCTGAAGTATTTTCTGCAGAATCCACTGTAAACACTGAACATTGTTGCTAACAGATTTATGTAAACATGTGGCATTCAGAAACATTGAGATAAGGGGATCCCCATTTGGTTCAAGATCCACAGTTTAAGAAGCTGTGTACTAAATAATAACTCAAGCACAAAGAAATACCCATCTCCTACAACCTCACATAACTATACCAAAGGTAAATAACCTCTTACTCTCATCACATTTTAGGTTACAACTCCTGCAATCTCTCAGAACAGGATCAGGGAAATAATAATAAATAATAAACTTTCTTTATACCCTGCTACCATCTCCCCAAGGGACTCGGTGTGGCTTACATGAAAGTACAGACCATGGTCAGATGGGGCTTCCTGGCATGCATTATTATTATTATTATTATTATTATTATTATTATTATTATTATTATTTATATACTGTTCTAGCTCCCCAAAGGGACTCAGGGCAGTGAACAAGAAAGTCAGCAAACATTCAATGCCATACAAAAGAAAAAGCACATAAACAAATAACCATCCCACCCAAAACCCTCGCGGATCCATATTTAAACCAAAAATAAAAATGCAATTTTTAATACCTCAAAGGTAAAAGTTTTGCTCCTCATAAAAGCAGGAGCAATTTTACCAGGGTATTTGCCTCTGCTCCTGAACCATTTTTGGTCTTGCCAATGCAGGTACTACCTAATAATTGGTCATATCTGCTTTACAACTAGCCAAACCACATGGGCTGAAGGGAGTACTAGAGAAAAACACGCGAAGGAACAGCTCCGGATTGTTTGATGCCACAAGTACACAACCAAACGTGTCTGGACAGATGGCCAGACAAGCTGTAAAAAGAGACAATAATGACAAAGTTCTTTTCCTAGCTTGGAACATACTTGGAATTTTGCACCTGCATAGGAGGGACAATCTTAATTCCATTCTTTTTTCCACTCTGGAAAAAAACCCCCTATTTTTATAACTAAAATGACCTATGGGGAAAGGAATTTGCACCCACCTTTTCAAAAAAACACACATACATTCACCGGGATTGTGGCGCAGCTGGCTGAGTGTCAGCTGCATTAAGATCACTCTGACCAAAAGGTCATGAGTTCGAAGCCAGTCTGGGTTGGAGTGGATTTCCAACCAATTGTGTAGCCCGTTGTCAACCTTTGCAACCCGAAAGACAGTTGCATCTGTCAAGTAGGAAAATAAGGTACCACCTTAAAGTGTGGGGAGGCTAAATTAACTAATTTATGAGGCCATAAAAAAAGACTTCACAAAAGCATGCGGGGAATGCAGAAGCACTTCATCAGCGTTGCAGATGGACGATGAAAGCGACAGCTCCCCTGGCAGCCAGAAAAAGTTAAATAGCCTCTGTCTATGTCTGTATATGTCTGTATATGTTGTATGTCAAAATTGGCATTGAATGTTTGCCATATATGTGTACACTGTAATCCGCCCTGAGTCCCCTGTGGGGTGAGAAGGGTGGAATATAAAAGCTGTAAAATAAATACATTCATATGCATGTGTGTGTATATATATGTGTATGTGTGTGTGTATATTTATTTATTTATTTATTTATTATTTACGGCATTTATATGTCGCCCTTCTCACTCCGAAGGGGACTCAGAGTGGCTTACAAGATATATTTTCATCCTCTCTTTCTCTCTCTCTCTCTCTCTCTCTCTCTCTCTCTCTCTCTCTCTATATATATATATATATATATAATACCACTGTTAAAGAAAGGACACCAAGGAGTACCCAAGAATTCTTGTTTTTCTTCCTCTTCCCTGGCGTCCATACTGCTGTAAAGTAGATTAACTTTCTCTAATTGGTCTTTTCTTTATTAGACTGTTATGTAATCTTTCACTTATTACAGTACTCAAAAAACTGAGTGCACTGTTCCCAGGTGTCTCCATTGAGGCATAAACCAAGGTCACGTTTGCTTGGTTTCAGGAGGTAGCAAAAGCATGTGCTCATAGAACAAACCTGGGGACCCTTGAGATCCAGTGGATCAGGTAGCATCTTCCCTGATTTCTTTAAATGCAATGCATTACAATCCCCATATCCAAGGAACTAATATATACATTTCATTTATCCACGGTTTCACTTCTTTTGTACAGGGCCTCCTGTACAAGCTTTTCTCAGTACCTCCATCATCCATCCCACTGAAAACAATAAGGTTCACTATTATTTGCAGTCCCATACATCCATGTAAAGTTGGGGGACCTTTCCTTTGCAGATATTGGGGTTGACAAAGATCTACAAACTAGCTCAAATGGTTAAACTGATGGTGGTGATTAAGGAAAAAGCTCTGATGAACTTCCTCATTATTGTACCAAGACAAAAACAAAAACAGATGAGACACTTAAAATCATAGAATCATAGAATTGGAAGAGACCTTATGGGCCATCCAGTCCAACCCCTTGCCAAGAAGTAGAAAAATGGCATTCAAAGCACCTCCGACACATGGCCAACCAGCCTCTGTTTAAAAGCTTCCAAAGAAGGAGTCTCTACCACACTCTGGGGCAGAGAGTTCCACTGTTGAACAGCTCTCACAGCTCAATGTTCAGACTTACAATGAATGTCTATTGATATATTGTCGAAGGTTTTCATGGCCGGAATTGCTGGGTTGTAGGTTTTTTGAGATGGATGGCTATGTTCTAGAAGCATTCTCTCCTGACATTTCTCCTGCATCTATGGCAGGCATCCTCAGAGGTTGTGAGATCTCACAACATCTGAAGATGCCTGCCATAGATGCAGGCGAAATGTCAGGAGAGAATGCTTCTCGAATATAGCCATGCAGGCCGAAAAACCTACAACAACCCAATGTCTATTGAATTTGTTCACTCGCATCCTTCACAGACTCCCCGCATCCACCACCATTTCCCCAGCACCAACATAACATTGATCATTCTCCGTCCCATCTGAACAGCTGGCATTGGCCTGCCTATAAATAGCATTCAGTTTGATTATGCCCTAAGGGAGGCAATATGTCTAGTTGTCAAGAGACCAACTCACTCTCCCGGCCATTATTATTATTATTATTATTGTTGTTTTTATTGATACAAAAACACAGTATGTCACAGCAAACGAGATCTATATGCTGGATTTTGTATCACAAAATCACAAGTTGAACACTTATTATTATTATTACCTGCCTTCATCTCTTGATTGAGATGCAAAACGGCTCACAACATTAAAAATGAATGCAATTTAAAATCCACAACATACACATATTAAAAGAGAATTAAACAAAGTCATCAATTAAAATCACTCAAAACACTTAAAATAATTTAATTCCCTACAGCAGGTATGGGGAAACTTGGGCCCTCCAGGTGTTTTGGACTTCAACTCCCACAATTCCTAACAGCCTACTGGCTGTTAGGAATTGTGGGAGTTGGAGTCCAAAACACCTGGAGGGCCCAAGTTTGCCCAAGCCTGCCCTACAGCAACTCCTTGGCTTGGTCTTAAACACTTCTTTCTTTAAAACTTATCTAAATAGCATCCTCAACACGCCCCAACCTTGCCTTGAGCTCCCACATACCTGTTCCACCAGTAAATTGCATTAGAACCATCCAGGTGAGCCACGCTGCCAACTCTGAGAAAGTAAAACATACACCGCAAAAGGGAGTTAGATTGAGCAGGTCAAGTTAAGCCGGTCAAGTTAAGCCGACCAGAAAAAGCCAATTTTAACTCAATGTAGACAGGATTCAGCCCTGCCACTCTCCTGCTGCTCCGACTACACCTGGATCAACACTGCCCAATTTCCCAGGATCTGGTCCCAGGTTAACTTCTTTGAACTGGATTATATGAGTCTACACTGAGATCATACCTCGCGAAGGCGGATCTGGCCAGGGTGGTCCATGCCTTAGTCACCTCCAGATTGGACTACTGTAATGCGCTCTACGTAGGGCTGTCCTTGAAAATGGCTCGGAAATTTCAGTTGCTCCAACGGGCGGCGGCCAGGTTGTTAACTGGTGCTCCTTACAGGGAGCGGTCAACCCTCCTGTTTAAGGAGCTCCACTGGCTTCCATTCATCTTCCGGATCCAATTCAAGGTGCAGGTTCTTACCTACAAAGCCCTGGACGGTTTGGGACCTGCCTACCTGCATGACCGTATTTCTGTATACGAACCCACACGATCTCTTCGATCATCTGGAGAGGCCCTACTCACGCTCCCACCTGCATCGCAGGCATGATTGGTGGGGACGAGAGAGAGGGTTTTCTCGGTGTGGCCCCTCAACTCTGGAACTCACTCCCTAAGGATATTAGGCATGCCCCATCTCTGGCAGTCTTCAGGAGGAACTTGAAAACGTGGTTGTTCCAGTGTGCCTTCCCAGAATAATGAACCCTTAGCATTATGTACCCCCAAAAGCACTTTATATCGATTTAGGACTGCTTGTATGTCTCTATCAACGCCCCACCTCCTGTATCTTGTTCATGTCTAGCATTATTTTTTAAACTTTAATTACATTTGGCCCAGCCATAGATTTTAAATATGCACTGTATTTTGTTTAATGTTTATACTTTTTGTGTATGAGATTTATTTTAATTGCTTTGTATTGTATTTGTTATTGCTTGTATTGCTTGTATTGCTTGTATTGTGGGCTGTATGGCCATGCTCCAGAAGCATTCTCTCTTGATGTTTCGCCCACATCTATGGCAGGCATCCTCTCAGAGGTGATGAGGTATTTTGGAAACTAGGCAAGTGGGGTTTATATATCTGTGGAATGTCCAGGGTGAGAAAAAGAACTCTTGTCTGTTAGAAGCAAGTGTGAATGTTGCAATTGGCCACCTCGATTAGCACTGAATAGCCTTGCAGCTTCAAAGTAAATAAAGAACAACAGTAAATAAAGAACAGCAATAAAGAACAACACTCAGAAAACAGGGGAATTCCCGGGCCAGCTAACACCTCCCAACAAAGGATTCCCTAAGACAGGAAGAAGCCAGGCTTTGAAAATGCAAGGCTATTCAATGCTAACCAAGCTGGCCAATTGCAACATTCACATTTGCCTCAAGCAGACAAGAGTTCTTTCTCCCACCCTGGACAGATATATAAACCCCACTGGCCTAGTTTCCAACAGACCTCACCACCTCTGAGGATGCCTGCCACAGATGTGGGCAAAACGTCAGGAGAGAATACTTCTGGAACATGGCCACACAACCTGGAAAACTCACAGCAACCCAGTGATTCCGGCCATCAAAGCCTTCGACAACATATATGGATGTATTTACACTGTAGAACTAATGCCGTTCGATACCACTTTAACTGGCATAGCTCAATGCTATGGAATCCTGAGAGTTGTAGTTTGGTGTCAAACATCATGGGAATTGTAGTTTTACGAGCCTTCTCTGCAGTTGGAGCAATTTCAAACTGCATTAATCCTTTGAACACAGTGTAGATGTACCCCCAGTTATGGGAAGAAGACATTCAGGATTCTACAATTGATATTTTTACAATTAATGACACAAAGCGTTTAATTTTTTTAAAAAAAAGAGATTATATTCATATTTTAATACTTTTGTGCTGTTTTGATTTGTATTGTGTCACGGTTGTTATTAGCTGCTTGGAGTCTCTATACTGGGAGAGCACTGGGATAAAAATAGTCAACAAATAAAAATAAATACAGTAGCCCCTCAGCTGAACTGCACCCAGAGGGATTGGTAATCTCCATAGACATGTAGTTTCTGGTTGCTTGAGAATTACTATAAAAAATAAGCCTAAATAATACTATAGTAAAGGTAAAGGTTTCCCTTTGACATTAAGTCTACTTGAGTCCGACTCTGGGGGGGTGGTGCTCATCTCCATTTCTAAGCCGAAGAGCCAGCGTTATCCATAGATGCCTCCATGGTCATGTGGCCGGCATGATTACATGGAGTGCCTTTACCTTCTCGCCAAAGCGGTATCATACAGTATTTACTGTATTATAAAAATAGATTTGGGGATGGATATGCAATTTTCATTAAATTGTTTTTGCCAGTTGCTTGGTAGTTCCGGTTGCTTGAGTTGTTTAACAAAGAGTCTAATGTAAATAAATACAGTGTGGACACAGCCTATGAGCTCCAGCATATAATAATAATAATAATAATAATAATAATAACTTTATTTGTACCCCGCTACCATCTCCCCAAGGGACTCGGTGCGGCTTACATGAGGCCGAGCCCACAATACAACAATAAACAATAGCAACAGTAATACAAAACAATAAATAAACTCATAAGCAGAAAATAAGCAATAAACATTAACAATAACACGACAATGCGTTTAAAAACCTATGGCTGGGCCAAATGTAATAATTAAAATTTAAAAAAAATGCTGAGCATGACCAGGTAAAATATAACTAGGATAGAATTTTCGGAGAGGGATAGGCAAGCACCATTCCTCTATAGACACATTAAATGAATTTTCTCTTCCAGAAACCACCCTAACTCCCTTTAATCCACCATTTTCTCCTGGCTCTGAGCCATATGGCCCCATACACGTTTATCTTTTTACCCCAAAGCATTACGCCCAATCTCATACCCACCCTACCCTCTCCTCCCAGTGAACCCAGAAGTCCTAGGATGCATCTATATGGTAGAAATAATGCACTTTAGGCACCCTTATGACTACCATGGCCCAATGCTCTGGAATCCTGGGAGTTGTGGTTTTACAAGGCTGATAGGCTTCTCTGCCAAATGGTGCCAAACTACAACTCCTGTGATTCCATAGCATTGAGCCGTGGCAGTTAAAGTGGCGTCAAACTGCATTAATTCTACAATGTAGATGTACTCACCTTGCCAACTTGAGGTTGACCCCAAGGAATTAAGAGTATCCTGGCCCACTTGTGGGGCTGAGTCATTCCCCAAAGCTCAGCATCTTCTTCCTTCTTCAGCACCAGCAGCATCCCTTTTTGCTTCTTCTCCTCCTTTCCATCCCTCCTTTCTAATAATGCACTTTTGGCACCCTTATGACTAACTGCTCTGGAATCCTGGGAGTTGTGGTTTTACAAGGCTCATAGCCTTCTCTGCCAAATGGTGCCAAACTACAACTCCTGTGATTCCATAGCATTGAACCGTGGCAGTTAAAGTGGCGTCAAACTAACGCAGTTAGTAGATGTACTCACAATGTAGATGTACTCACCTTGCCAATTTGAGATTGACCCCAAGGAGTTAAGAGTATCCTGGCCCACTTGTGGGGCTGAGCCATTCCACGGAGCTCAGCATCTTCTTCCTTCTTCAGCACCAGCAGCATCCCTTTTTGCTTCTTCTCCTCCTTTCCATCCCTCCTTTCTTTCTTTCTTTCTCTCCTCCACTTCCTCCAAACTCGGCTCTGTCTCTCTTCTCTCCTCTTGCAACCCTTTCTTTCTTTTCTCCCCCTCTACCCACAATTCAGGCTTTTGCTTTGCTCCCCAACATCCATCTCCTCTCTCTCTGGCCTTGAGCATCCCTCTCCATCCTTGCCATGCCGGCTAAAGATTTTCCCAAAATGCCCTGCGCTGCTTCTGTCTCTGCCTTCTTTACACAGTCACAATATGGGTCTCGGCTTCCGGAGCCCGCCCACAGCCAATTTGGAGGCTTCCTGGAGTTCAGTCCTCCCTCCTGACCTCTTCAACTCTCTCTTTCTGTGATCTCATTTTGGAGACAAGGCACCTTCACTGCTTTGCAATCCAGAAAGTCCCAGGCGCCTCTCACTGATGCTCTTGCATCCTTCCCAGGGACCATCTCAGTTTTCTGGACTAAATGAAATGCCATCCTTATTATTTGCCTCTGGGTGGTGCTGTGTTTTTTTATATGTACATGTTCAGCATCCCTTCAACCAAATGCTTTGGACCAGGAGTGCATCTAAACTAGTTTCCCTACTCTAAATTTGTTTGTAGAAGGGAATGACAGTCTGTTTCAGAATGGGATCCCACAGCAAGAATAACGCAAGCCATGGTGAAATGGAATAGTAACACTATGCAACAAAATTTGAAAAAAAAAATTCTTCCTGGTTTGAAAGTGTTATTTCCTTTTTCATTGTGCGTTGCTTACTTTGAAAGCAGAAGTTATACTCCCGAAACTTTGTTTTTGCGGCTGCCACAAACTATGTTAAATTGGTTGAGACACTAGGACAGAGTTTCTCAACCTGGGGGTGTTGTGAGGGGGTGTCAGAGGGGTCACCAAAGACCATCAAGAAATGCAGTATTATCCATTGGTCGTGGGGGTTCTGTGTGGGAAGTTTGACTCAATTCTATCATTGGTAGGGGATCAGAATGCTCTTTGCTTGTAGATGAACTATAAATCCCAGCAACTACAACTCCCAAATGTCAAGGTATGTTTTCCCCAAACTCCACCAGTGTTCACATTTCAGCATATTGAGTATTCAAGCCAAGTTTGCTCCAAATCCATCATTGCTTGAGTCCACAGTGTTCTCTGGATGTAGGTGAACTACAACTCCAAAATTCAAGGTTGATGCCCACCAAACCCTTCCAGTATTTCCTGTTGGTCATGGGAGTTCTGTGTGCCAAGTTTGGCTCAATTCCATTGTTGGTGGAGTTCAGAGTGCCCTTTGATTATAGGTGAACTATAAATCCCAGCAACTACAACTCCCAAATGACAAAATCAATCCCCACTCCAACCCCACCAGTTTTCAGATTTGGGCATATCAGGTATTTCTGCCAAATTTGGTCCAGTGAATGAAAATACATCCTGCATATCAGATATTTACATTACGATTCATAACAGTAGCAAAATGACAGTTCTGAAGTAGCAACGAAAATAATTTCATGGTTGGGGGTCACCACAACATGAGGAACTGTATGAAGGGGTCACGGCATTAGGAAGGTTGAGAATCACTGCTCTAGGAGATATTCATTGAAAAAAAAAAAAAACAAAATGTGCTGCGGGAGATCCCACAAAAACAATAAACTTTTCATAAACTTTTCCTGTGTTTTTATTATAGAACCAATTAGGAAATGACATTTATAACCCGGGAACAAAAGCCATGTTACATAGTGTAATGGGAGTGATGCCATATGATGCATCTACATAGAAATCATGTTTAGAAAGCCAAAGGTTTGTTTGCATAACACAAAGGAAACATATTCATATTCATATTCAATATACCGATTCTCCAAGTGTCGCTAGTAGCATAGCGGGTTAAACGACAGATATAGGATGGGTAACACCTGGCCTGAAAACAGTATGTGTGATCCAGAAGTCATAGTGTCGTCCCCCGTCCCCCCCATGACACAGTGGGCTAAACTGCTGAGATGCTGAACTTGCTGATCAAAATGTTAGCAATCTGAATCCATGGGATAGGATGAGCTCTCACTGTTAAGCCCAGCTCCTGTCAACCTAGCACTTTGAAAACATGCAAATCAATAGGTACTTGTAATGAATTCGCTGATCTCTACTAGATTTTTGGTGTATAGCTCTATGTTCCCCATGTGTCAGATAGGGCAGAGTTAGTACAATAAGGTAGCAACAGTAGAGGCAAGGTTAATTTGCATACGTGCAGCCGATTGGTCGTATGCAGATAAGTGTGGTCCAGTATTTTGAAAAGGCCACTGAGCCAGAATGGCAGTTGGGGGGAAGAGATCTGAACATTCTAAAGGGGCGGAGTTAAGTTTAAAAAGAGGCAGTTAGAGTTGAAGAGAAAGGAGAGCAGTTAGTGTAGAGAGTTGAAGAAATGGCAGTTAGTTAAGAATGGCTGCTTGTGAAGTTAGTTAGGAAGTACTGTTTGTGAAGAGAGTTAGGAATCTGTGTGTGAAGAGAAGAAGTTAAGAATCCCTGTCTGAGAGAGAGACAGTGGGGAAACTCTGTTTTGAGTTATAAGAGTTATTGAATGTAGCTCAAGTTTTATAGGAAAACAGAGAAGGCCAGAGTTGCCTAAGTCAGAACAGAGGATGGTTAGGAGTGTATAAAGAAAAGTAACATATTTGTTGGTGTGAAAGATTGATAGTTTAAAAGGAAAAGTAACCAAATGAATTATGTTGAATGCAAGACTTCAAGGCTGTGACAAGACACAAATGTACCCCAAGTGTTGGAACTTAAAGTTATAAATAAACATTGTTAAATTTTTACAAATGAGAGCCTCAAGCCTGTGATTCAAAGCCAAGAGGCTTTTGTTTTACAACACACAGAGAGTCCCAGATATTAAAGTGTTGACAGAGGACCGCACATATGTACATGCTTCTTTACAAAATGCTGGCTTCCCTTTTGTTACAGTACCACTTAGATGGGAAGGTAATGGTGCTCCATGCGGTCACGCTGGCCACATGACCTTGGAGGTGTCTATGGACGCCAGCTCTTCGTCTTAGAAATTGAGATGAGCACACACACCCCCAGAGCCAGAAGGGAAAGCCTTTATCTTTATCTGTGTTTCTTTGTTTCTAGGCATTGAATGGTTTGTGTATGCTGGAATCCGTCCTAAGTCCCCTTGGGGAGATAGAGCAGAATACAAATAAAATATTGTTGTCATTGTTGTTACTATATGACTCTATGTGTATGTAAGGAATAAAGTGAAAAGTCTAGAACTGGGGCGATGAAGGCTCACATCTCCATCAAATTATACAGCCCAGAAATGGGATCATGCCCCCCCCCCCCAAGTTATGGATGCTTTCCCATTAGAAACCCAATTGATACTAACATTGGCTTCATTTCAGCACAAAGTTAACAGACAGCATTTGATTAAAGCTGTGATCTGATGCTTTCATTCATTTGTACATGCACATGGTTTTAACAATTTAGGTTGTTTTGATTTCTGGATAGCTTAATATGTTGTTAGACTGCAATGTGACCGCTTCACATTTTAAATTGCAAATTGGTCAAACTGGTTTTCTTGTATTCAGTCCTGAAATATTTGGATGGGAACAACAAGATAAATGTTTAAATAGATAAATGGGCGAGAAGTGTCTTTCCAATGAAGCTGAAGTGGAACTCCAAAAGCATCCATTCCCTGTGTTTTCTTTCACCTACGTTTGCAACAATATTAGGTGCCATCTACGTTGCCATATAATGCAGTTAAACTGCATTATGAAACTGCATTATTTGGAATTCGTTGTCCATCATTCATCGTCATCTCTGACCCGAATATAAGCCGAGGCACCTAATTTTACCATTAAAAACACGGAAAACTTATTGACTTGAATATAAGCCAAGAGTGGGAAATGCAGCAGTTACTGGCAAATTTCAAAAATAAAATTACATTAATTGAGGCATCAGCAGTTTAAGTGTTTTTGAATATTTACATAAAACTGTAATTTAAAACTGTCTAACTCTGATTAAATCATTATTATAATCTTCTTCAATGTAGATGTGCTTACCAGTACACATCCTTCCAGTAATAATAAATAGAATAAAATAATAAATGTAATAATAACAATGATAGATTAAAATAATAAATGTAATAACAATAATAGTAAGGGTAGAATGAATGTAATAATAACAACAATAATAGATTAAAACAATAAATGTAATAATAATAATAATAATAATAATGTAGAATAATTTATTTGTTTATTTATTTATTTAGCAATTTTGTATACCGGTCTTCTTCCCTCTATCGGGGGACTCGGGCTGGTTTCCAACAATAAAATCACAAAACAATAATTAAAAGCATCATATAACATATTCAATTAAAACGTTATAACAGCAAAATGCAATCACATAATAACAATGGTCAGTCATCATAGTGAATTCGTTGTCCATCATTCATCGTCATCTCTCCGATCACAGAAATATTGATTCACTCGTCGAAAGCCAAACCCCATAGCCAGGTTTTCACCCGTTTTCTGAACGACAGACTGGAGGGGGCAGTTCTGATCTCCAGTGTAATAATAACAATAGAATAAAATAATGTAATAATAACAGAGTAAAATAATAAATGTAATAACAATAATAATAAACAGAGCATGGCAATCCCCACCTCCATCAGCCCAGTCTCCCCCTCTGGGAACCCTAAAGAGACACAAAGGGGCTCCAACTTTTCCTCAAAAGAGAGAAAAGAGGGGAACCAAGCTGTTTAGTAATGGAATATGCTGCCTTGGAGCATGGTGGAGTCTCCTTTCTACTCTGGGCTTTTTTATGCAGAGCCATCTGTTGGGGGTGCTTTGATTGTGTGTTTCTGGATGTGGAGGAGGTGTGACTGGATGGCTCTTCCCTCTGCTCACCTTCAAGGCTCTTTTTCTCTGGGAAAAGGATGTTTGCAGAGACAAGAGGGAGAGAGAATGGAGGAGCCAAGCCAGGTCTCCGCTTTGCCTCTAAGGTTGCTTCTGCCCTTGGAAAGGCAGTGGTGTCAACCCTTCCTCCTCCTCTTCCTCTCTCCCTCCTTCAGGACACACAGAATCTGAGCAGGGGCCAGCCTCCTGAAGGAACAGGAGCTGCCTTGGAGGGAAAGAGACTACATTACCCAGCAGGCATGTCCTGCTTCGCTCTCTCCCCTCTTACACTTCAAATCAGCCAACATTCTGCCATGGGAAGAGGGATTGGGGGGTTTTGGGACTGGGGGGTTTTGGAACTGTGCCGTCACACCCAAACGCCTTATGATGTGCTACTCTCTTTGCCTGGGCGGACCGCTGGGGTCTTTCTTTGAGGCTCAAACCTTCTGAGTAACTGAGTCCACTTCAGGTTTAAAACCGCAAACAGGGTATTTATTAACAACATCCTTGTAGACTTCGCTCAGCTTATTAATGTTACCAACAGTCAATGAGTAAAGTATATACAGATATTGAGGCAGCTTTCCTCCAAAAGGTATAATGAATTGTGGA